ACCGGCCAGGCATGCTTGGAATTTCTGAGAAGTCAACTGAGTAGAAGTAACTTGGGGAGCAAGTGACTTTTTTCCCTCCACCTCACCCATCTGCAAGGTGGTCCAAATGAAAGAACTCTGAGTGCTTCTGGGCTGGCTGAGTGGCTTTTAAAGTGTCTTCTCCCTGCAGGACTGATTATAAACTCCAATATCTCTACATACAGCCGGAAACCACAGGTTACATGAGAGACCTGTGCATTCTTGGAACTGGGTCAGCAGGAATACTGGAGTACATCCCCTTGCAACTGCTCGTCTCGTCACCTGTCTTCTTCTCCAGACTGAGTTGTGAGAGTAGGATGTTGATCTCATGCACCGGTGTCCCCCAAGCCCAGCAGGCACCTTGCATACAAACATGCATACGTTCAGTGGATTTAGGGGAGCAACGGTTTTGCATCATTGCTCATGGCGTGATCAAAAAATAGCATGTCTGCAGCCCGCAAGAGGGTGCATGTCAATTCCTGAATGCTGAATCCTGAGAGATCAGTACGAACCACCAATTTTCACAATAAGCCACATCAATATTTTGGGGGGGTGACAAAAGCCTTTTTTAATATCCCAGCTGCATCAGAGAAATTAGGTAACTGTGACACTACTTTATAAATGGACTATGAAGCATCTTGCCTTCCCTGCATGACTAGGTACCTCACAGATGCTTTCTCTAATACTTATCTGTAGAGTGACAGAACATTAGCTGCAGATTTACTGTCACCATGATTGTGATTTGCATGTGGATGGAAGGTTAACATCATGTAGAAATGTGAGCAGTGGTCCTGCTAAGATCCATTTCTCTGTTCTCATTATTTCACCTCTTGGTTTATTGTGTTTGCTGCCCTCTCCCATTACTCACAAAGTTGTCAAATACGTCCCTGAGGATGCACAAACACGGGGTTCTGGGAAACCACGTTTCAGTAGTTACATAAGGAGACCAACGAAGCCAACATGTTCTCCATTGTAACAGAGCCACGGTTCTGTCTTTGTTACCGACCTGCAGCTGTAGAAGGAAGAGAGCGAGTTTGGGTGAGAAACAGAATGAGAAAGCAAACGCAGGGGACTGACTGGCTTTTCCCAGTTTAAATGATGCAGAGAATTCATGACTTTTAATAACCCTCACTCCACAGTGGGAAGCATCTGGGGAAAAAGAAATCACACGACTATTGTTATTCTCTTTAGAGAGTGAGGAGGAGGAAGGAGGAAAAGGTACTTTCTAATGCACAGTTAGGGAAAAATTAATGAAACTACCCTCGGCAAGGCACACGAGACGGCTCCTTCTGTAAGGGTTGTTCGTTCGGGAAATCACAACTGCATGTGTTGGCACTACCTTTCCTCTGCGAGGACGAGCGGGCGTGGCGAACCGGAGCAGCTCGCTGGCCTTACCCCCTGAAATGGAGCCTCGGGGAGCGTTGGTGGGAACGGCGAGCATCCTTCGGCGGGGTCTGGGTGGCCTCTGCAGGGCTGTCCTCTCCCTGCCTCACTGCCACACCTACACGTGATACCACCATCTATACCTTCATTCAAGCCAAGGGAAATGAAACGTGCATTTAGCTTTAGGATTATGAGTCAGTCAGACAATAACCAGAAGTATGAAGGACATTTTGATCATACGCACCGATGACAAAATCTAATTCAGGGATGAAAACAAGTATTCTGTCATTTGACAGGTCTCTGTTGTGCTGAGTAACACTCATAGCTGTGTCATGAAAATACGTGGTGCAAAGTCCTGCCAGGTGACTCAGCAGAACTCCTTTCTAACCTCTGCACAGACACTCGACAATTATGCTCACTTAATCTCCTCCATTCCAAGTTCCTTTCAGAGTTGGTCAGTAGGGAAATCAATTTCTAGAATTAGGCCTTTGGTTATTAACCACAGGGCAGACTCCCCTATGTATAACACACAGCTCTGCTTGAAACCTAGTCAATTTCTCCTAATTCTACAATGATCAGATATTAAAATATTTTCCTCTAATACAGCTCTATTTTCAGAAAGTACTTCAAATCTGGTTTGACCCAACAATGAAGAAAAAGTCCAGAACAAACACTAGGGAATGAGTGTATAGAGAAAACGTCATCATTTACTGCTGAAGGACAACAGTCTTAAGTTTAAACCAAAGCAAACACAAAGCACATGACAATATATAGTCCTAATAAAATTTTATTGAGAACCAGTAAGTCAAATCCTTTACACAACATAGAAATACATATGATCCCAGCCCTTCCCAATAAATGGCAATATAACAGTGGGGTGAGTTCCCTGAATATCTCATACCCTCAGTGTTATACCTATAGGGGAGAAACAGTTCTACAGCTCAGCGGCACAGAAATGGGGTGCTCTGACCTACTCAGGGGAAGCAGAGGTGGAATCAATGCAGTATGAGTAACAAAGGACAGCGGATGAGTTCTAGCAGCCAAAGGAGTAGATGAACAAACGTCTGCTTTTCACATGTTGCATTTCAAAAGCAGCTCGTAGAAGGCAGGGCATCACAAGACCAGACACAAATTAACCCGAGGTCATAGGAGCGGAGGATCCCTGTCCATTCAGTGACATAGGGAAGTGGTAACAAGGAGAGAAATAGCCTTGGATCCACTTCCACCTAACACTCCACCTACCACGAAGGCTTTTGATGCCAAATAATTGGAACTGACATCAAAGATGAAAAGGGAGCCGGATGACAATAAGGATTGAAGACAGACAACTGGGATGAGACCAAAGCCCAGTGGGACTGATGAAAATAGTTATGATAATCTTAACATCTGCCCACGATGGAAAGCAGTTTTCCCGCTACCGGAACAGAAGCACAGGACAGGGTAAGTGAGCGCTGCGTGGCGAGTTCCAAGCTTCCCACCTAGTCTTTCTGTGGAGATGAGACACCCTTGTGATTTCTGGGAGGTAACTTTTGGGAAGGTTTTATTTTCACCAGAAAGAAAAATATATGAGGGGAAAATGATACAACAGAAATACAACTAAATGATGCCTCTTCCTTTTAAAACTAAGAAAACTAGTGTAAAAGCTTCTTTTGGTTTCTACCACTGTCTTAAGTTTATAGCTTTTGCCTAAGTTTAAAATCCTATCAAACTTTCTTAGCTCTTAAGCATAAAGAAATGGCACAAATATAAAACCTGCCAGTTTTATAAGTCCTAAAAAGCCAAAAAATAAATAAATAAAAAAAGAGGTACCTGAATTGTACCTTATGAATTGTATTGATGAATTTGATAATGAATGACAGTAGCCAAACTGTAATTCAAACATTAACAAGAATCTTTTTCAAAATGTTCTTCTCCCTGCCTTGAAGTCTTCCTGGGGTTAAATCAATCAAGATGTTTGAAGAAGCCCTGTGATCAAGTCTCTGGCAGAGAGAAAATGTGTTTTGCTCTTTTCCCCTTAGTTAGTAACTGTAATTGCTAAAAGTACAGGCACCGAATAGTAAGACACTTAACTAAACCAAATGGGTTTTATTCTTTCAAGCTGGGCTGCCAGCCAAAGGCAAACGAGCCTTCTCTCCTGTGAATGCTGACACCAATGACCTGAAACGTTCAGGGGAAGCACAAAGCTCTCGGCAGAGATCGAGAAATCCAAGAGGCACAAGGTTGTCCCTAGCTAGCACAAGTCACAGAGGACACGCTAATCCTAGGATCTGAGCAGTGGGCTGTTGTTTTAGATTCTATTGTTGGTAGCCTTTAAAGCAGTGGTTCTCAACCTTCCTAATGCCGCGACCATTTAATACAGTTCATCATGTTGTGGTGACCCCCAACCATAAAATTATTTTTGTTGCTACTTCATAACTGTAATTTTGCTACTGTTATGAATTGCCATCGGAAATATGTTTTCTGATAGTCTTAGGCGACCCCTGTGCAAGGGTTGTTTGACCCACAAAGGGGTCGCGACCCACAGGTTGAGAACGGCTCCTTTAAAGGGTCAATTTCCAGTAATGTTAGTTCTTCTGGTGCTAAGTGGAAAGTAAGAGAGGACTGCTACCTGAAGGAACCAATACACACTCAGTGGGGATTTGGTTCAAAGTTCTAATTAAAAATAGCATGTTTTTATGACAGAGAGCTGAGACAGGCACATTTAAAATTCTTAGACCTTGTTTTTTTTTTTGAAGTTGCAAAATGTTCTAAAATCAGACAAAACATGGAACAAACAAAATAAGCCTGGGAAAGGCAGCGATGGGAGGAGGAGTAGCAGCTGATGAAGCACCAGGGATTCTACATCTGCTATACAAACACCCGATAAGGAGGGCTCAGAGACTGATGGATCTTAGGCCTAACATGCAAAAAGGCAGGATCCCTTTGTTCTAAGTGTGATCACCGGATTTCAAAAGCTTAGTGTTTCTCTTTCAAGTTAATGGCTCTAGATAGCGCCCCTCCCTCCTGTCAAACAGAAGCAGCCTGCCGTCCTACTTAGTGAGAAGACCACCCTGGGACAGAGTGCCAGGAAGGAAAACTCGGCTTGCATCAAACAGCCAGCACTAAAGCAAAGTCACAGCCAAGCAAGTAAAACACGAGCCCAAGTTTAGAAGGTCCATTGGTCAGGGTGGACTCAGATGTTCAGCTACAATATATTCACCCCCAGAACACTGGTTTCCTGATCTTATACTAATTCTAGAGAACAAACACATTTAAATAAATAGTTACAAAATGCACTCAATTATTTTAGAAAAAAACAATTAATTCTTATTGTTAGCTTATCTAGAATGAACCTTCAAATCAGAATTTTCACGGCTACTACAGCCTGGATGCTTTACTAACAAAAAGAAACAGTTTTCAAAGTATGTTCATCTCTGGTTTAAATAAGCATTGTGAAGTGAAAAATGGTATTCAGGTCCCTAGTGCAGTTTGCAACTCTCGCAATATTTGCCCTGGAAGCATAGTTATATTTTGTCCCCTTTCATAATCAACCACATAGAGAAAAACACCGCAGAGGTAGAGGGCAATGTCCAACAACAGTCATGTATTTATCTTTGTTCATATGCATTTAGTTTCTTTTAAACATTTTTAGAACAATAAACAGATGGCTGTAGTCATAAGCTTAGTTAAGAGTAAGATTTCCTCCAAGTTATAAATATATACACATATATGCCTCAAAATATTGTACATATCACTGAACTTCCTTTTTGGAAGAAAGTGAAGTTAAAGTTAAAATATTTTTTTGGACATTTTAAAGTAAAAGTAAATGATAAAGAAAAGGAAGTGAACTAAAGACAAATTCTGAAGGAAATCTCAACTAAATCACGTACACAGCTTAGCTCTGTGTCCTTGGAAAGCAATAATAGCACGTAGCTCAGGTTAGACATGCGCGAGGGGCCAGGCACGGAGTTGCAGGGAGCAGGCTTTCTTCTTATAGCTCAAAGGCAGGAAACTTGGCTTTCGAGGGCATTAAGAGGTCAGCCAGGAAATATATTGTTCCGGCCATTCCTAAAGGAAGAGAAAGAGGAAAAGTAAACATACCAAACGATTCTATTTTAGAGTGGCTTCATTTTGTAGCACGGGCAATCATGTCAATGAAGTGGGCATCTGTCTGTAGTTATGCTCCTTGCAGTTCACCATTAGAGGAGATCACCAGTGTGGTGCTCAGCTGCTTCACCCAGGTGGAAGATGGGGGAGTGGAGTCAGACAAGTTCAAGGCTCAGCCTTGCCACTGAGTGTATGTGAGCACCATGGGCCACACAGCTCTCTGAGCCTGTCTTCTCATACGTGACATGAGGATAATGTCTGTATGTTTTCGCTGAGGTGACTTATGATGGCATTTGCAAAACACCTAGCATATGCCTGGCTCCATGATGGCAGTCACCATTATGTTATTAGTACTAGGTCTGTGGTTGTCCATGTGCTAACTGATTTTTAAGACTGAGTTGTTATACTAGGAAATAAGGAAGTAGTTTAAGAAATGATTTAAAAATTAATTTGTTGACAAAACTCCTATTTAAATACATTAACCACCAAGCAGAGCAGTGGAAGCTGATATTATGAGGCAAGTAACTGGTGTGAAAAATACCTTCAAAGAGGGAGAAGGGGGTGTCTGGTGTTCTGCATCCGTGTTCTCCATAATCTAAGCACCATTCAGCAAACTGAAAATGAGACCAAGTTAAATTACTGCTGTATTTCTTCCCAAGACCCCCACAAGTGGATAGAGATTGTCCCTAAGAATTATTCTAAAAAGTCAAAAACGATCTTCAAAACAGAGAACAGGGGTTAAGGCAAAGAAATGGATAGCACGAAAGAGAACAAAGCATGGAGGGAATGAGCTGTCTGAGCCTCATACCTCCAAGGTTCGCATAGAAGAAACAAAGGAATAAAACCACCCTACATCTTTCTTTTCCTCCCATAAATTACTGACTAGAATTATGTCCTTTTAAAAGAAAGAGAATTCCACTGAATGATTCTAAAGGTTTTTCTTAACTGTGTTTTTTCCTACAGACATGGTTTAACGAATGAAATAATTAAATCAGATTAACCAGAAACCTTTCTGCAACCTCTGGGAGAGGGTGCTTTCTTTTTGGCAGTTCTGGTCCTACCTTACAGGCCCGGTACAGGTACTTCATATCCTGCGTGAGGTTGTACAGGGCCAGGAAGGCGTAGGCATTCCCCGCAGCACCATGGCACAGCCCGTACCCCTTCTTCAGCAACCCATACTGCCAGATCACATCAGCACACTGGTAGGCATCGTTGAGATACTGTTCTTCTTTGAACACCTGCAGAGTCAAGGGGCGTCATTTTATTTTAAGTGATATAAAAGAAAAGTGTATTGATCTTCCTTCTTGAAAGGAAAGAAGGGGAGATGGAGAAAGGGAGGGGAGAGGGAAGTAACCTGGCAAGAAAGGATCAGGGATTTAGAGCCATAGCGATGTGTTACATCAGTGGGGAAAATTACAAAACTACACTAATTTTTTTTTTTTTTTTTTTTTTATCCTCACCCGAGGACATTTTTCCATTTTTTGTTCAGATAGAGCGGGAGGGAGAGAGAGGAAGAGAGAGAGAGAGGGAAACATCGATGTGAAAGGGACACATCGAGTGGCTGCCACCCACACGACCAACCAGGGCTGGGGACAAACTGCAACCGAGGTACGTGCCCTTAGCGGGAACCGAACCCGGGTCTCTCTGTACCGCAGGCCGACGCTCCAACCGATGAGCCAAACCGGCCAGGGTTTGTTTTGTTTTTTAATAAGAGGGCATGACCTTGTTTGCATGGTCTAAGTTTTAAGTGTGTATGTGTGTGTGTGTGTGTTATTGGTGGAGGAGCATTATTTTACTTGAAGCTTGCTGTTATCATTAGTCACTTTCCAAAGAACACATGCCATCTTCTTTGGTAACAACGATGCCCTCCATTGTAAGAACGTTTCTTTACACACTAAAGGAGAAATTGTGTATAAAATTCATTATAAAAACTAACTTGGTTATAAAACACTGTACTTTGTCAGAAAAATAGAGATACACCTTTACAATCTTTTGTGGATTCCTATATATTGATCAAAGACTTGAGGAATATTCTGAGCAGACATTTTAAATATCTCATCGCAAACTAAGTATCCTTAAAAATAGAGTAAGGTAGTTTTCCAAGTCTCTAAAAGTAAACTCTGACATACTAAAAGCTTATTTAGACTAGGAGACGCTGGCCTGTAGGTTTGTAATCTGTAGATCTGGCACCAACAGACACAGGTATCTTGGTTGACTTCTATTTTTTTCTCAAATAAATATTTTTTCTTCTTTGACTATAGCTTTACCATAGCATGCTTTTTAGAAGTGATACTGGCACTTTTTATTATGGTAAAATACACATAATGTAAAAGTTACCATTTTAATCACTTAAAGTATACAATTCCCTGGCATTAATTACGTTCACAGTGTTCTCTAACCATCACTACTATCTATTTCCAAAACATTTTCATCATCCCAAACAGAAACCCTGTCCCCATTAAGCATTAAATCTGCGTCCGTCCCACCCCCCAGCACAAGCACCAGCACCAGGTAACTTCAACTTTCTTTCTGTATGAATTTGCCTATTCTAGATACCTATTAACCATCACATCACATCATTTACGTAGAATCATACAGTGTTTGTCCTTCTGAATGTGGCTTCTTTCACTTAGTATGTTTTCAGTGTTCATGCATGCATGCTATAGTTTAGATCAGTTCATTCTCCTGTATGGCTGAAGACTACTCCATGATAGGTATACATTTTGTCTGTCCAAGGGTCATCTGTTGGACACTTGGAATTCCTTCCACCTTTTGGCTGTTGTGAATAATGCTACTGTGGAACACTGGTGCACAACTGTGCGGGGATCCTTGATCTTCCTTCTTCTGGGTAAATACCCAGGAGTGGAATTGCTGGATCATATGTTCATTCTGAGTTTAATTTTTTGAGGAACTACCAAACTGCAACTGCACCCTTTTACATTCCCACCAGCAATGTGCGAGGCGGATTTTTCCACTTTTTGATCGAGCTCTGGGGGTACTCATCATGGCTCTGCAACTGATGCTACAATCCTGGCTACTCCACTTGTCAGCGAGGCAGTTTCCCGTTCGTTGAGATAACGTCTGCTCTGGCACAGGTGGGCACAGTGAGAATGAGTTATAACCCTTCATCAACAGTGATCTTAGGTCTAATAAGTGATTTATCTATTGCTCCTTCAAGGATTATGCATAAAACTAATTTTAAATTACAGAACTTTATATTTTACAATTTATTTATAAAACGAGAAAATTCACAGTACCTTATAGGCCTGGATGAGCATGTAGATGACCCCCGGGGAACCATGGCACCAGTGGACTAGCAGATCTCGAGTGTCGCCCACACAAGGAGGGTAATTGCCGGAAGGGAATTTCAGCTGGCAGACGTAGTCTACACTGGACTTGACCAAGCTATGTAACTTAGCGTGGCTCACTTGAAGGCTGGGCTAAAAATGAGAAAGGGAATGATTAATTCTGCTGAAGCAACAGATCTCGGGCCCTAGGAATGAGTTTTAAACCATAAAGAAAACATGGGTTTCTTTCAGTTATTTTGCCTACTAGAACAAACTAAAACTAGGTTATCAGTTAACTCTTGGGCCTATGTCCATATTATTTTTTAGTATTTGTTATCTATATACATATAAATAATTCTCCCGAGTCAATGCTTGAGAAAGTGAGTGTAAGAAAAGTTTTAACATCGTACGCATACATTAAAGCCCAGAACAGTGTTCAAGTTCTGTTTAAAATGCTAATATAGAATGGATTCTCCTCAAACTTGCAGGAATTATCCAAAAATGGCCAAAACGTATTTGGCTGTATGCTGATACATAGGTACCCCATGGAACGAACTTCTATAGGATTAAAAATGAAATCATTTTAAATAGGTAATAGTCTGCCAGTGGGAAACCCAGTGGTTGGGTTCCCAAGTCCTCACTCCGGAGAAAAGGAGGCGCAGGAAAGACGCTCCCGGCTCTGCTCCAGTGACAGGCCACGTGCTTGTCCAGCCACTGACACACGTGCCTCTAGCTCACATTGAAACTTCAGAGGACGTGAACTCTTCTTTCCTGAAAACTTTTAAGAGTCTATATTTACTTCTGGAAATAGAGAGCCAATGAGGGGATTTGTCAGAAATTAAGTCTGAACTGTCAAAACCTCTAATTGTAAAACTCTTAATTGAGAAGTGTAGAATAAATACAACAGTTGGCCTCCTACTGCCACTAACCCTCAAAGTGTGACTTTGCATTTAAAAGCAATAATAACCTTGAGCTTTCCCGCATCACTGTCATTGTTTAGTTATGGGGAGAGGGCAGGTCTGACATTGATTCTGCATTATTATAGCCAGCTACTCATCCAGCTAGTAGTATGTATGTCTAAGCACTCATGTTGAACACATTAGTGAAACACTTTTCTTTATGCCACGTTGTACTTTGGGAAGGTGAGGGGGACACCTTTGCTACCATTAAAAATCAATTTTCTTTTGTCATAAATTCTTATCCACAAGTGCCAATTTCTCTTGGAGAGAGAGCTAAATAAGCCCCTAGAAATGATGCTCCCAGGAGAAGTCCTCTTCTGACCTCCCCTCTCAGATTATGCTGGCTAAAGTCTCTTTGTCCTTAGTCTATATGACTTTGGCTGGTGTCCCGCAACAGTATCAGATCTAAAGAACCATCAAGCATAGCTTATTCAGCTATTTCTCAGGCAGGTTACACAGAGTCCACTGGAAGGGCTCCTTAGCTGTGTTCTCTTAGTGAGCCTTAGGCAGCATATGCTCATTTGTTTCTACTGATTGTGTTCTTACTCCTGGAATTTGTTTCAATGGGTTGTGCCTTACAATGTGAAATAATATTCTTAATTCAAGGTGTTTGCTGAAAGAGAAGAGCAGAAGGCATTTCATATAGAAGTATGAACACTTTTGTCTGGACTAGTGGACCTAGGCAAGTATGGACATCCGCAAATCAAACATCATCTCAAAGCACAGCACTTATACACTTGAAATGCACCTGGGCAAATATTACTCTGGTTTGTGTGGAACAGGTGATTATAAGGAGGTTGATGCAGTAGTAAACAGAATAAAAAAATGGATCTGGAGCACTTGTCTTCTGACCCTGAGCAGAAAAGCCAGGAAGTGCAATTTAAAGTCTCACCATCATCACCTTACCTGCATCAGAAAGTAATAAATTCCTGCCAGGCCATGAGCAGCTCCCACATAATATTCTTGGTACCACTCATACATCAGTGGAGTCTTTGCTGTGAAGTTTCTCTTTTTAGCGAGGTTTTCTCCAGACGTTAAGATTGTTTCACAAATCTACAGGGAGAAAACAACCAAAATAATGAGAGAATTAGAGTAAAAACCCTCCTGGTAGAGGTAAAAACCTTTTTCCTGGGGAACATGACGAGTTGGATACTGTCTCTGACCATGGATGGGCAGTTTGACTCAGTACGCAGAGAAGCGGGTGTGACTATATTGTCTAATAAGGGGAGGGTATGGAAGGCCCTGAACTCTTTTCACTAGTGCTTACAAGGGTTCACTTGTCAAAGGAAAGCATAACTCCTCTGGGCACAAAGGAGGCCCTGCACTGGAAGGTGACATCTGGCCCTCCTCTCGGAAAGGGTCTCTACACTCTCCAACGGCCCAACTTCTCACTGACTCACTCTGTGTTTCCAACAGCACTCAGCACGGGGCTATTGGTTCTCTGATCATGCCTGACCTCCAGAGGTCAAGATACACCTTCCAGCTACTTGGGATGTGCTAACTGGAGAAATAAAACCAACAGTTTAGGCAGATGGTAAATGTAATCCTAAAATGACTCCAAAAAGCACGAAAACATGGTACCTGCTGAATATGGCTTTGAGGAATCTTTTCTACTCCGAAGTTCTTATTCACAAAAAGAAGAGCATAGATGTAGCCCACTCGTCCATACAGTAGTTCATTTGGAGAATGGGGATCGATCTTATTTAAGTGAATTAACCTGAGAAGAAAAATACATGTTTAGAATAATCCGAAAGAAAAATTAGGTAGTGGTATATATGTGAAAATGGTACATTTAAAAAACACAAACAGATATCATGTGTATGTGTATTATGTTAAATTATATTTTAAAAATATTTTAAAGATATAATTGTAATTAGTATAATATAAATGATTATACATTAAATATAAAGTGGGCTGGGCCAGAACACAAATGATAGTCAGGATTCAAAGAGTAACCCTTAGCTAAGTTTCTTTTCTTCAGTTCCCAATGGAGCTATCGACAAGATGCTGAAAGAATGAAAGAAGATGTGGGTATGGCTGAGGCTACCTGGAGCCGCCCCAGTTCACTGGAACCTTGCCTTGAGACTAGCAGTCGGCATCAGAGGCGCTAAGAACTGCTGGCTATATAGAATTTAGCCTGGGGAACGAACTAAGTCAACACAAAGGGCCACCTATTTCTAGATGATGAAATGCTTGCTGCACCCCCATTCTCATCTTATTTGGTTTCTTTCTTCATGTGTCATCAGGCCTACCTGAAGTGTCTGTAGGACAGCCTGATCCACCACAACTGATAATACATGTCAATGGCACAACGGTACCAGTCCGTGTCCCTGTCCCCCCATTCTCCCAGCTTCTTGTGCTTCTTTCAGAAGAACCACGGTTAATAATTTCTTGTATAGCCCTATTTACTTTATGCACATATAAGCATAATGTACATATTTATAGACGTATCTCCCCACATGGTCTGTGGCTGGCCCTTTAATGATACACCATGACAACTATTCTACATCAGCATACAGAGACAGTCAGTCTCCTTCTTTATCAGATGTTCAGTATTCCATTGAATGGGTGTATTATAATTTATTAGTTCCCTACTGACAGACTCAGTTCAGCTTCACACAAAAGTTAATTTGTGTTCTGGGTCCAGGTAAGGTGGAGTAGGCCCCCCCTCTAAATGTGGCTCCCCAACCTGGAGTGCGCGCATGAAGCAGCTATTTGAGGACCCTGGATGTAAACAGGAGCAGGCGGAATGGGGAAGAAGAAGAGAGTGTGGGGTACCACCAAACTAGTGATGAGTTTACCATATTTTCCCCGATACTCCCCTGGCCAGAACTCAGTACAGCTCAAAACCTGGCAGCGGACCCAAGGGGCTGAAGGAAGGGCCAAAAGAAGCCGTGCAGTTTCATCTCAGGAAGGAGTGGGAAAGGGGATGCCTCCTGTCACAGAGTGGGGAAAACACCTCATTTTTCTTCATTTTCCTTTCTCTGTCCTCTGTTCTTTCATACCCCAGGCCACATGCCATTGCACCGTGGTGTCGCAAGTGAAGTCAACAGGACCTCAGAGGAGTAATGAGGGAGGAACCCCTCCTCACAGAGCAGAGAGCTGCGGTCCCGGGAGGGGCTGAGCCTCCTCTGTCCCTTCTGTCCAGCTTCCTCCTCACGTGGCCCAGATGCAGGTGCAGTCATGGGACGTACGCGGATGAGTGGGGCAGCCAGAGCCCCAGATTTCTTTCCAGAGGACCAAAAAGGGAAGCCCCAGGTACCCAGAAGTTAGGCAGTGGCCACAGGAAGGGGAGCTCAACAAAGCCACCATATTTGTAGTCTGAACTCTTAAAATGAACCATTTTTTCCCTTTTTTGGAGGGTAGGGAGGGAGCAATCATGATAGGTAGGGAAAATTGCCTTGCCTTTTTAGTTTTTTTTTTTATCACATGAAATTTTGAAAGCACATCTCAGTTATCTCTAAATTATCCTAAAATTAAATGTTACACCATTTAAGTTATTAAAACAACTTAATATTTTTGTGAAACTTGACAAAATGATATTAGTACACTGAAAAGTGAGAGAAGAACCCTAGATTTTCTAGAAAAAGTAATTAAGAGGACATTAGCCCTACCAAATAATGGCTTCATCATCAGGTAGCTTAGTGACACTAAACCTGCACTCAACTTGCAATTTAATCCTTGTGCTTTAAATTTCTCATCTATAAACTGAATGGTCCCTTCTAATAAATAAATTCTCTTAAGTTGTCTGTGTGGAAATTTATTTTTAAAGTAGTTAAGTATAAACAGTGCCTGTGCATATATTTCATCTAACTTTAGCCTATACACTGGGAATGGTTAATTAATATTTGAATTATCAAAAATCACAACCCTGGGGTGATTGTCTATATTTGAAGTACTATAATCAGAAATCAACATTCAGAGGTATTCACAACTCGAATGACTTTACCCAAATCTACACCATGATTTGTTAAGAGGTGCAGGCATGAATGTCGGGAAACGGCTTTTCATTGGGGGAATGAGTGGTAGGGACGGGCAGGAGGTTTGGCAGATGGTACAGACGCTACCAGTGTTGATGAGGAAGACCTAAGAAGGGCCTACAATGTGGCTTTCGTGAGCAACAGAAAACAGGTCAGGGGGCTACTTGTATGTATGTGTGTGCATCTCCTTTCTAATATTTGTCCATTTGGCAGAATTTGGTCAACAGTTTTGGCTTTCATTTTGGCATATTCAGTGGTAAGGTTATGGTTGGGGTCGGGGGGTATATGGCCCTTACCTCCACTTGCTGGAAGCTACCAGTATCTACAAAAACCAAAAACAAGCAAGCAAAAACCTGACAAAAGGTACAGAGAAGAGAGACTGAACTCCAAAGGGAAGGTACTTGTGAAAGAGAAAACAGTATTTGGCTCCTCCCAACGCCTCCCCGCCACTTCCACAGGCCTGTGGTATGACAAGGGGAACATTCACAATTTAAAACGAAGACGTTTCAATAACTACAATGAGATGATTTTAGTGACTAAAAGGGGACAACAGTTATAAAACAGATTGAGAAAAAGTTATGAAAAGTTATTAAACTCACAGTGGAACAAACAGTAGTTATCTTAGGTATGGACAGTGGTAAAAGATTGCTTTTAAATTTCTTGTAATACCTTGACTTTGTTTTTCCAATGTCAGCAGGGCCATCTGGATGGTAAAATTATGGCTGTTTTGTTTTGCACTCTAGTATCATACATACACACTCCTAACATTTTTAAAGAACTTAAAAATATTTAAGAAAAATTCTTTTTTAAATGTCCAACTGGCAGGCAGCTCAGTAACATAGAGACTTTGAGAAAATAAAATGTTTATTATATATGAACTCACCTGTTATAGTGTCAGAGTCTTGATAAGAATTTATTATCAAGTTTGAATGTAAGTGTATCACATTGTATAGAGTTTAGATATAATAAAGTGCTTCTGATTTACTTTTGCAAAAGACATTAAAAAAAACTATTCAAAAAGAGAAATTACCATGAGTTTTTAAACCAACACTGCTCTATGAAAGTTACTCAGAACAATTACTGCATTAACTCCAATGATATTTTCATCTAAATAAAATATGTTTGAGCTACTATATTAGAAAACAACTTTCCTTTATTATCACCATTATGACCTGCGTCACCACTAGGTGGCAATATATAATAAGCATTTCAGTTATTTTGCAGCCAGACTTATTTGCACTTGGGAAGTTCAAAGTAGGTAAGAAATACCTTTCCAATCTTTGAAAATAAAGTATTGCTCAAAGCATTTCCTTAAAACAATACTTTACGGTTTAGGGTAAAAAAGTAAGGATTCTATTTTTTTCTGGATTTAAATTCAAGTCATTAAAACTTATTAGTTATGTCTGATGATTTTTAAAGGTAGGACTTTTAACCGCTTGTTTTACATGCCATATTCTTAAGACAAGAAGAAGTAATGACAGCATTTATAAGTTATAATGGTTATTCTAAGTGTTTTCAGAAACTCTCAAACCCAGAAGCACATCACTGCAGCTCCATTTATTTGTTTTCATATGTTGGTATCAATAGCAACCAATCTGAAAGAAGAATAAAGACAGGATAGTTCTGTTCCACTCTTACTGATATTTCCCCAGGGCATCACTGGGGAGAACTTTTTGTCTTGTATCATCAAAGGAAGTTTGACTTATTTTTAAAAAAAGAAGTCCTTTTCTTACTCATCACACTATAGAAGAGAGAGGGTATGCATTTTCTGACCAGAAAGCCAAACTTCTTTGTCACTCTACGTACTGGCCCGTTACTCTCTTAATTGGGTACCAAACGGGCAGTGCTCTCTGTTTGTGTAGTGGCACCAACTATCTCTATGAGAAAGGAAGGATGAAAAAGGACACCTATAAAAAAATCAGGCATCAGGAAAAACTACTCCTATTTACCACCCTATCCCCAGGCCAACTGTAGTACAATATGAACACACAGACACACACACACACACACACACACACACACACACACAGGCACACATACACTTCTTTTGGGGAGTCACAGACACTTTCAAGAAAAGTTAAAGTTCTCTCTATGATGAATGCAATTTGGAGTTTTTCTGATTTCTTTGTATTTAAGTTGCTTTCTAAGGATTCGACTTCTGATGATCACAATGCCCCTTTGGTTTCTAAAACTCAAACTTATTAGTCTGAAAGACCACTACACTGAGAAAATATAGGAAAGGTCAGCTGAAATAGGGTGTTGGCATTGGAGCCCAGGGCAGATGCCATACAGAGAATCCGAGTGTCTGTGATATCTGAAAGGGCTGTGTGATATGAGGAAAACGTTTTAGTAAAAAGTAAAAATAATAATTAGGTTCATTAAATAACAGATGACGTCAATTAATTGTGGATTTCCTGAAATTGAATGGATTTTTCCTTCTTTCCTTAAAAGAGAGAAGATGAGAAACTAATTTACAAATAAAATTTTCTTCTGCCATGAAATCCAGAAATATGAAAAATCAAAGCTGTGGCCACAAACAATGTATTTTCCTATCAGAAGTTCACATATTATATTTTTAACCTTAACAAGTCTACTGGCTATAAAAAAATATGCTAAAATGTCATACAATTTTTAAAAAGACAAAAACACCTTATCACCAAGGTATTAAAAAATGTTTAACTTACTCTTAGGCGTGTTTTATAATAAGCCAATATTAATATATGCTACTATTCTCCAAAGAGTATTTTTTAGAACAACAGGCCCTAAGATGTCATGAGGAAAAAGGGTTGTCTAAATGATAAGTCTGGCAAATTTTGTTCCCTGGAGTAGGTAGTTTCTCTTTGGACTCTGAAGACTCTGAGCAGCCAGAAAACTTACACATTTAACTTTGTTTAATTAGTATTTCCCCTATCTGTTTAAATACACAAACCTTGTATTTAATCAATATTAACACCTATTAACATTTTTCACATAACAAACTATTACTATGTGGCACATATATGAGAAAGGTTGGCATTATGTATAACATATTGGGACCACTACAATTTATTTTTATAATACTTAAGAGTGATTCATTCAACTGTATTTTTTTGTGAACCTCTAAAGCAGATGTGTGTGGCTAATGGCTTTAAACTGGCTATGCAAAAACATAATAAGGCAGTTTCTGTATTTCAAATTTATATGGGTATGGAACAGCTTTTGTATTGGCTGGTCTTCTGCAAGTTAATTACTATGGAAGGAATACATGTGTTAATTAACCTTTTGGGAAAACCAGTTTTGCTTCACTTGCCATTTTGATCAAGCTTAGTGACAGGTTTTATATTAAATAATTCCCAGCCCTGGAGTGGAATGCTCATAGTTTTTTGCTCTAAAATACACTAGTTCTACATTTTTTTGTTTTTAAGTTGTACTAGATCACTTCTAATCTCTGATAGATGTACCACAGGCATGTATCTGTTAGTTCAGGGAATGCTCTAACATGATCCACAGATCATTATAGGTAGAGCATAAAACTCCTTGGACTCTCCTCCACCCTCCCTTTTGTATACTTTCCAGCGGAAAAAGTTAGTTACAATAATAAAGTATCACTGTATGGGGAAAAAATTGGGGAAGGAGGGAGAATTTACATATATATGCTCAAACAAGAGAATGCTGATTCCTTCTTCAAATACAACACAAACCACATCTTATAAAGTCTAGTTATAGTGTATTCTATAACATGGATGAACCTGAGGACATTATGTTATATGAAACAAGCTGGTTATAAAAAGACAAATACTGAGTGACTCCCCTTATATGAGATACTTAGAATAGTAAAAAATCACAGACACAGAAAGTAGAACAGTGGTTATCAGGGACCAGGATGGGGGAGTCGGGTACAGATTCAGTTTTACAAGATAGAAAGAGCTATGGAGATGGATGGTGATGAAGGTTGCACCATATCATGAATGTATTTAATTCATTGAACTATATAATTAAAAATGGTTAATATGGTAAATTTTACGTTATATGTACTTTACCACAATAAAAAAAATTGGAACAAGGGGAATGAAATATAAATTCTAGAACTAAAAATTGCACTGCCTATAATAAAAAATTCACCAGATGGACTTAACAGCAGAATGGATATAACAGAAGAAAGTGACACTTTTTTCTCAAGTGAACTGAAAAACATTACCTAATCTCAACAACAGAGAGTGGGAAAAAAGATTGAAAAAAAAAGAACAGTCTCAGAGACCAGATGAACAATATCAAAAGGCCTAACATATATGCAACTGGAATTTCAGAAGGAGAAGACTAAGGATGGTGCAGAAAAAAATTAGAAAAATATTCTAGATCCTGATCGAGGTTTGGATTACATTGGCATATGCATTTATCAAAACTAAGTATACACTTAAAACCTGGAAGCTCATTGTGTAGAAAGTTTATATCAAAGGACCATAACTCTAAACAGACACTGAACTCTAGTAAATTATATTTAAGCTCAAGTATTTAGAAGGAAGTATACTGATGTCTGCAATTTACTCTGAAATGCAGCCTCCTTCACAAATAAGATTAATAATGAATAGAGAAATAGATAGATGTATAGATATATGATAAAGCAAATACAGTAAAAGGTAACAGTAGATTCTTGTGGTAGATCTATAGGTACTCATTGTTTTTTCACCTTTTTTATTTGTTTGAAATTTTTCATAATAAAATTTAAGGGGAAAAAAAGTCTAGCTATTAGAATTTTAGGCCAAAGTCTGTTGTTGAAATACACACCACCACACAATAAAAGTTTAACCAAGGGATCCTCAACAAATGAAATCAGTAACGATAATACTATTCTAACAGGAATTTATAAGAAAGAATAGTGGGGCCTTGGCTGGTTTGGCTCAGCGGTTAGAGCATCAGCCTGCAGTCCAGAGAGACCAGGGTTCGGTTCCTGCTAAGGGCACGTACCTTGGTTGCAGTTTGTCCCTGGCCCTGGTTGTTGTGCGGGTGGCAGCCACTCAATGTGTCCCTTTCACATCGATGTTTCTCTCTCTCTCTCTCTCTCTCTCTCTCTCTCTCTCTCTCCCCCTCTCTCTCCCTCCCACACTATCTGAACAAAACATGGAAAAATGTCCTTGGGTGAGGATAAAAAAAAAGAATAATGGGGATCAAAAAAACATGGTCAACTCAGGGATGGTCAGTGATTAAAATGCTGCTGGAATTAAATGGGCAAAAGACCTTAACAGGCACCTCTTTAAAGGAGATATACAGATGGCAAGTAAGTATAAGAAAAGATGCTCTACATCATACGTTAGAGGGAAATCCAAATTAAAACAATGAGGTACCAATGCATTCCTATCAGAACAACCAAAATGCCAGAACACTGACAACACCAAATGATAGAGAGTATGTAAAGGAACAGGAACTCTCCTCCGTTGAGGGTGGGAATGCAAAATAATACAGCCCCTTTGCAAGACAGTTTGGCAGTTTCTTAGAAAACTAGACATATTCTTAGCATACAATCCAGAAATTATGCTCCTTGGTATTTACCCAAAAGAGTTGGAAACTTATGTCCACATAAAAACTTACACATGGATGTTTGTTTATAGCAGCTTATAATTGCCAAAACTTGAAAGCAACCAAGATGTCCTTCAGTAGGTAAATGGATAAATAAATTGGTACACAGTGGACTACTACTTAGCACTAAAAAGAAATGAGATACCAAGATATAAAATGATATGAAGAAACCTTAACATCTATTACTAAGTGAAAGAAGCCAATCAGAAAAGATCACATACTATATGATTCCAATGACATGATATTCTCGAAAAGGCAAAACCGTGAAGACAGTAGAAAACTCAATTGATTGCCAGGGGTTAGGGAGGAGGGAAGAGGAATGAATAAGCAGAGCACAGAGGATTTTTAGGGCAGTGGAACTGCTCTGAATGATACTACAATGATGGAAACATGTCCTTATACATTTTTCCAACCCTTAGGATGTCCAACAACGACAGTGAACTGTAATGTAAACTATGGACTTTGGTGATTACGATGTGTCAGTGTAGGTTCATGAACTGTAACCAGTGTACCATTCTGGTGGGGGATGTTGATAATGGGGAGGCTGTGCATGTGTGGGGGTAGGCGGAAGACAATTTTGCTGTGAATTGAAAACTACTCTAAAAGGCAAAGTCCATTAAACAACTAAACAAAACAACAAAACCTTCGCTGGAAATGCAGCTCTCTCTACGTTAGCATGTTCGAGCTGAGCTGACATGCATGCAGAGTTGCATGGAGGCCAGGTTTTGTAGAATTCTGAAAGTATTCATTAAACTTGAGTGAGGCAATAATTGTAATTTATTAGTACAAAAGTTTGGTAATTCTTCATAATTCACAAACTTCTAGCAGGCTTCCTTGATTTATATTAACAATTTGCATATCATTTGTCTTTTAAAAAACAATTTTGCCTCAGTTTGTATATTCTTAGAAGGCCTCTCTCAACCCACCTTGCGAAGTGAACTGCATTTTTTTCAAAGTGTTGAACTTGGATAGCACCTTGAATTAGTCATCATATAATTAGGCTTTTGATCTCATTTTTGTTACTGAAACTGATTTCTGATCTGGAACATGTGTCATTATATCTTGCAATAAAACACAGATTATAATGGCCGCTCCTTAACGACGACATAGGAATAATGTGAGAATTGATCAAATGACAGTACTAAGATTTACTGCTGAGAGGGAAGTAAATTCACTCAAATGTTCTTTTGCTAACACACAAAGAATTAACATATAATAACAGGTAGATAAAAATCCTCAAAAAGAAACACGATTACCTAGTGATGCAATCCTCTGCCTGCTTCTCATTGTTCATCTTGTGATATACCACGGCAGCCACGGCCAGCGGGCCTGCATCCCCGCAGAGGAAGGTGATGGAGCGCTTGGACAAACAGTTCAGACTTTGCTTTACATAGCCGTGCGCCTTCTGCAGGTAGGCTGGGTCCCCGAACACATCATAGAGATGGAGGTAAAGCACAGCAATACCTGAAAAGCAAGAGGAAAATAATGTAAAAATGAGAAAAGGGCAGCTGACTGTATTATTTTGGTGTGCTGCCTACTCAGCAGAATTGATTTTTGATAAGCTGTAATAAATATGTAAACTATCTGGTTATTCAGATGACTTTAGTTCTAGACTTACCTTTATTACCAAGTAGCTCTGAGAACCAGACAGAGGCAAACACCTTACTGGTTCTCAGTTTCTTCACCACTATAACTCTAACAAGAACTCTCTAAGACCCTCTAAGACTCTAAATCAAAGTTTATCATTAATCTTTGCTGCACTCTGGCTACTGTGTTAATTGTGTTAATGTATTCCTCTTGATGGTTAAATGGTAGGTCATCTAAACTATGGTTCCAAATAAACAGTCACTTATTTATTTAACAAATAATAATCTACTTAATAATAAATAGGAAATGTTTGTTCACGTGGACTAAAGAAATTCAAAAACTAGAGAATAAAAATTCAAAATTTCTTTTATAGATTTTTTTATTTTAATGAGAGGGTAGATAAACTGACAAAATTCCCTAACATTCCAGGCAGGGATTATAAGCAAACTATTAAGTTATTTGAGAAATAAATTCCATTACTCCCTATTTTTTTTGTTTGTTCTCCATTGAGAACCTAGCTCTTTAGGAACTATACTGTGAAGGCTGCCAATGACTTCTGCTAGGGGCCTTCACTTGCTTCTTATCTTCCTCTCAAAGCATGCTATATGTAATTGAGCTGTTCTCTGTATGTACGTATTCCAAATACCCGTCACAGTAGCAACAGCCTCCCCACAAAGCTGCCTGGTCCCGGGGCAGACTGAAAGATGTGGCATAGGGAGTCTGCCTGCAGCATTTCTAGAAACTAATTTTTCTCCTTAAAGTACATTTTCCATTTTCTTTACCATTTTTAAAAGATACAGAGCTTCTGTTTAAACCTAAATTAATAGAGCCAATCTCTTCACAAATTTCAATGCAGCAAAAATGCAGACTGCAAAATGACTTTTCACTGTATTGAAGACAATTTTAAATTCAGATAGTTTTCTCATTCTACATGTGTAGTCTTCAAAGCTTTGTGCTACAGACAATTCAATTTCACATGTATATTAAGACCAAATTTTCATTTCCTGCCCAAGTTAATAACACTGTCTGCTCTTTCAAAGTGTCTTGGTGTTAGTAATTCCACAAACTGATGATCAGATGTACCAATGCTTAAGGTCTGTAGACATAAGTGTGCAAAACCACGTATGTGGGTAAGAAAAAAAAATCTCCTTTTCACAAATGATCAATGTCAAGAGCTTCTTCTAGAATTAGGTTCTTAATGGGCTTCATCTCATCCACACCAGGCATCTGCAGGCAATCTGTTTAAATTGTTAGCCTTTCATTTTGCCCTCCTATTCCCATCGCTGCCTGAACTCCCTTAATTAAGTTATGTAAGCACCAAAGCCAGATAATGACATGACTGAGATCTGAGAAAATAAAAAGTGATTAAATACAAGCCCAATGATTGCTTTCCTTTGCAGACCTCTGTCTCTCATTATCAACAATTCCTCTTGGCCTAAATATTTAACAAATAAAACCCATGAAGTTTTGCAATTGTAAGAGTTGATGCATTTCTCATGAAAAAGGAGTAATCACTTCTCAAGTCTCACAATATTTTATTTAGATAAAATATGTATTTTTTTCTTTTCCTGATCAACAGAGAATTATCTAGCTAGTCTCTAGGGTTTCACAACCTCAGGTTCTATTTCTCTCCTTCTCATTCTGGGCCTCAGTGTTTGCTTATTTAAAACCATCTCCTCCAGGTTGTAATTTACAGGTGTCTACCTTCCTTGTCACAAGACACCCAAAGATGAGAAGTGTTTCAAGTGAGGGTGCTACAGCCAGTTAGAAAAATGTTCCTAAACAAGCTTATTATAAATCAGTCTAGGCAACAACAACAACAAAAAAAGACAAATGCCTAAGTCAAAGACATGTAATGCCTCAACAATATTTTATACCCCAGGTGCCCTAATTTAATCCTGGCCAGGTTGCTCAGTTGTTTAGAGCATTGTCCCACTAGGCCACGGTTTGGGATTTGATCATTGATCAGAGTACATATACCAGAAGCAACCAATGAATACATAACTAAGTGGAGCAACAAATTGATATTTTTCTCTTTTTAAAATTAATGAATAAAAACTTTTAGCTAAAAAGATAATAGAATGGAGGAACTGCCTGTGGCCAAATGTTTTGGATTTGATCCTTATGATCTTCCAACCTCTGACGATATTCACGCATCATCATAAATACCGAAGGTGAGAGAGCACTGGCAGATAACTGGTGGGAAATAAAGACACATCCTCAAGGGCTCTGTGGGAAACACTCATCGCATCCTTCTATATACTCACAGCCCTGGCCTCAGCCTAGGCTTTAAAAAACTATTTTCTAATGTAATTTTATCAAAATAAATATGTTCTTTATGGAAGAAATTAGTACTGCAAGGCTTAATGTACACATGCAGTCTCCTGCCCCACTCTGTTCCTGCCTCCCTTAGGCAGCAACTTTAAATAATTTTAGCCATTTCCAATCGTAGCTGCCTCCATATTGCTAATAATATGCTTATGTGCTATCCTTTCATTTCTCTATATCAGACATTTTGACTCACAATCCATTATGAAAGATAAGGATTTAGCTCTTGTGATAGAGACTGCTAAGTGGTCCCTGAAACTATATCTCCCTTTCCCTCAACACTGATGCCCTGGGTACAGGGCTGCCCATAACAGTCTCCTTTGCAGCTGGGTATGACCATGTGACTAAGTCTGACCAATGAGACATAATGGGAGTAATGGGGGTAACTTCAGAAAATGTTCTTGAATGCGGGGACACACCATTTCTTTCCCCCTGGCTGGAATACAGATTATGATGGTGTAGCTGAAGCAGACACATTAGACTAGGAAGTGGTAGCTCTGTGGTGAGGATGGTAAAGCCTTAAAATCAAAGAAGCTTAAATCCTGAAGGACTGTGAAATGGTTCTGGACTGCCTATACACAAAAGAACAAAATTCTGTTGTGTTCAAGTCACTGTCATTTTAGGTGTATCCCCATATGCTGGTAAACCTAATCATAAAGAATACGGCTCGTTGAAGCTGGAGAGTTAGGATTTAAGGTTTTATTTGAAAAGTACCATTATAAGCACTAGAAGAGCATAATTAGATCTGGGTTTTTAAAAGTTCACTGTCAGGTTTGGAAAAAAGTGTGTGGATCAGTGGATCCAGGAGCAGCAGTTAGAAGGATGCTTCAGGAGTACAGGTGAGACACAGGGCAGTTGCAGTAGAGATGAAGTGAGACTGTACTGGAAAGAAGTCTGTCTGGAAGGTAAAATCAGTGGAACCTGGTGGTGAATGATGGAGAGGGAGATGTCAAGATGACTCCAGATGGGCAATGGCGAGAGCCACCCAGGCGGCAAACACCCCCAGGGGACGGCCAGGCTTGGGAAGGAGGAATACAGTAGTATCTATTCATAAACTCATCCCCAAAGATGATTCCATTCTCTAAAGGACATTTAATATGAGAAACTACACTCCTACTGGCTTCTAGGGTAACCACCATTAAAACTGGTCATGAGGCTCAACAAAAGATGATGCATAGAGTTTAATCTTTTTAATAATTTTTCTTTTTCTTTTCATCACAGTGCATACTAGTTAATCAAGGGAATTCTTGGGCTTAAATTTGAGTAGCAGACAAAATTTCCTTCTCTACCGTTTGCTAAGCAAAAGGTAGAATAATGGAGATTTGTTTCCTTCTTCTGTTTCACCCTTTCTTCCAGACCAGAAATGATTAAAATGAGATTTAAATTTTGAATGTGTTTAACTGTAAAAATATGCTCCAAATTGTTTTTATTTTATAATGCTTTTATTTAAAAAAAAATGAAAGCCCTCCCACTCCCCATTTGCATCTAGATGAATTCTGACACTTTCATTGATATAAAATTTTAATGCAATATTCTTCTATTTCTTAGCTAGTCCACTCCATATCTACTGTCATTAAGCTATGGAAACTAATGCTTTGGGTCTTAATTTTACTATCTTGTTAGATTTGCTCATACATGACTTGAACATATTGACATATTATAAAAGAGAAAATAATCCATATGAAGAGAGACATGCTGAGAAAAAAATAAAGCAAAATCTAATCCATTATTGTCCTAGTAATCCTAAAGTCATTAAAGATGAGCAATACATATTTGGGATAATATCCTAATTCTGTTAAGTAATGAGTAATTTCCTTTAGGAACAAATGATTATTCCCATTCTGGATAGTCTTACTTCATTCCCTAAAAAGGTATATGAAATTTGTTATCGAGATCCCACTTCTATTTTACACGTAAATCCAGATAAATTTAAGCAACATCAGTAACAACCAATCAATAAAGAGCCTTTTAGAATCAAATAAATGAAGTCAGTAATTTTTCCAGGAATGGCATGTTAATTCTTTAGTTATTCACACCCTTGGAAGCTGACCTGGTGAAGAAAGATGGATAGAGGTTGGCAGAGTATCCCCTCCACCAAGGAGCAGGTATGGTGGGTATAGACTGAAAGGGGGGCTTCCTATGTGAAATGATGGAAGTGGAGCAGGTGCAGAGAGTACTCCCAGCAAGTGCAATTATCTGAGCAACTTCCTGTAGACAAGAAGCCTAGGGGATGACCTGGTTAATAAGGTTGGGCTCCTTGGGGATTTGAATTATTGAAAAGGAGACATGGAGATTTAGATTTGATGCGAATCCACTGACAGTTTATATAAAGGAGTAGTATTCAACAAAAGGATTTTAAAAGATAAACTGGCCATATGTGTTAGTCCAGGTCTTCCACAATGGGATTGAACATGCAGAACTTTAATAGGACAGTCTATCCAGTTATCTAGGAAATGGATCCCAGGCATGTACCACATGAATCATGTGACAGGGTATCATACCAGCAATTATACGCATTGGCTTGGAAGTGACACATGCTGCTTCCACCT